AATGTTGATACAGTTTTTAATGTATATGAATCACCATCTTTTGTTATATAATAACGTGATGATGCTGCTGTTGCAGCTAAACGTGTAAAATAACCAATACCCAATTCGGTTAAAAATTCATCAAAATTATCGCTACTAACTAATTCATATTCTCCAACAAAATTATAATCTTTTACCGGTTCGGATGGATTTTTATTATTACCAATTGGTTCACTTGATGATACTGTTAATGTATCATTAATAACATTTTCTTCCAATAAATTTGATAATTCGGCACTTGATAATTTTGGTTTTGGACAATTTGATTTATCATCTTTAAATATTAGTACAAGAACTGCACACAATAATAAAACTGTGAAAAAAAGAAAACGAAAATTACAAAAAAAAGTTAAATTTAGTTCATCAATCAGTATGTAAAGGGAAAAATGCAAGAAATTTGAAACAAATAGGTTTGTAACATATCGATCACAGATCAAATTGATTGAAAATCGATCCGATACAACAAAAAAAGTTTCAAATTTCAAATTTTTTTTCACCTTGACACAATGATAAATAGATTAATTAATATGTACTTACAAGTAACAACACCATATAGAATAAATGAAAATGTTTTGAGCTTTGATGAGGCCATATTTTGTTAATTATTGATGATTTGATTTGATTATTGATTTGATTGAAAGAAGATGATTTTTTGAAATGTAAAATGATGAACACACAAAAACAAACAGAAGTTTTTTTTGAGTTGAGATTGGATTAATGAACTGTGTTTGAATTAAAATTCCAAGTGGAAAAAAATGATGGTGATAATTGGATGAAATGATGATTTACAGGAGAAAAAAAATTTAAAGAATTTCAGCTTATATTAAATAAAATCTAAATATTGAAAAACGAAACGAGAAAACAAAATTATTATTATGAATTTCGCTTTGTTCAACAGGAAATATGATAATCCAAAAATAGAAGTTATGAACAAAACAATGAAACAAAATTTCAAAAACCAAAAACAATCGCACGCACACAGACAAACAACGTGTTTCAAAAAATGTTAATGATAAACATGACAAAACAACATTGGTTAGAAAAACAAAGCAGAAAACAAACACAAAACTTTATTTCCTTTCCTTTCTTTTGTTTTGTTTTGTTTTCGATGGCTTTGAAAAACGATTTGACAATCGACTGAAACAAAAAACTTGAAAACAAAAATTTTTTTAATAATATCTAGGGCTAAATTACAATGAAAATAAAATCAATCAATCGATTATTGATCGATCAATTCACAATTCAGCAAAAATGATGATGATGAATTTCAATTACAAAGATAAAAAACAAACGTTGATTTATATTTGGGTTTTTGAAAAGGGGATATGGGGTTTAGGAAAACAACAACAACACTGATTGATTGATTGATTGACAACCATGAAAAAAAAGAAATTTGATTTGAAATTGTAATTAGCTAATGATGATGATGATGATGATGAAATGTGATTTGAGAAATGAAATGTCTTTATGTGATGATTAAATGACTGAAAGTCATCATCATCATCATCATAAACAACATCTAATCTAATCTCTAATCAATCGACAAATATCGATCGATTTTTTTTTCGTTTTGTTTGATTCGAAAAGAACCGAAAAACAACAAACAAACAAACAATCTTTCAAATGTACTGAAATGATGATGATACACAGACATTTTTTCTTTTTGGTAAATAAGATAATCTATTTTTCTTTTTCTTTTTGAAGGAATTTTTCGGGGTTTTTTCACTTGACAATTCAATTTGATAATCAAATTCGAACAATATCACAATATCGCATTATCTCAGCTGCTATTACATTTTTTTTTGTTTGAATTTTGATGCCGGTTTTAACAAGTTTTTTTTCATTGCTTTTCGTTTTGTTTTTTTTTTTTTGTTGCTGTGCGAAATACAAGATGTGTTTGTGTGTGTGTGAGGAAGATAAAATTAATCTTGATTTTTGGAAAAAATGAAAAGAGAAATTTCTCAAATTTTTTTTTCTTACTTGTTTTAACCGCTGACCTCCTCTCTCCTCTCATATCGTCATCATCATTTATTTTTAACCTTGAAACAAATCTTTTTTTCGTTCGTTTGAATCAGAAAACAGATTACTGCTGTATTTGGAATCAAAAAAATGACTAGTTTTTCTTTTCTGTGATTCAATAAAATTGATGCTATTCAATCGAATGCAAAAAAGTTTGTCTGTGTTTAGCTTCAATGATTAAAATAGCAGAAAGAAATTGTCATTTTTTGGGACAACAAAATTAGAAAAATATCGATTTTTTTTTCGTTATTGATTAACCCAGATAAAAGAAACTCACTTACGTTTGAAAACAAAAGAATTCTTTTCAGAAATGAAAACCAGGTGAATAAACAGACAAAAAAATAAATTAACTTTTTATTTTCATCAAAGTAATGACAATGTGTATGATGACATTCAATCACGAAATGACGAATAAAATAAATGAATGATGACAAGGTAGAAATAAAATATGAAAAAAAAATTCAGCAGGAAAACAAACGAAAAAGGGAAAATTCCCAAAAAAATTTTAACGGAATTCAAGGTTTTTTTTCTGTTTGTTTTTGGTGTGTTTCCACCCAACCAGTAGAAAAGAAACAGAAAACAAAAAGAGTTAACAAAATGATTAATTGAAAATTAATCTATTTCTCCTAATGATAACTGGCTGATCTTGTAATGGAAGAAAAATGAAGGGAAAAAAAATTGAAAATTCATCAAGTATTATTTGTACCCGGCTTGTTGTCTTTGTGTTGTTATTTTGCGAATGATGTTATCAGAAGACATTTGTTTTACGCATGTTAAACTGAACTATGGAAAAAAAATTCTGAACATTTGTCGGATTTAGGTTGGGATATTCTGGGATTGATGATGATTCTAAAAATAATGATAACCTAAGAATACAATGGAAAACAAAATCCATAGAAATGAATGAAAAACTAGATCAAATTCTTGTCAGCTGATG